ACTCTCTCTATCAGACTACTCTCTCCATCAGACTACTCTCTCCATCAGACTACTCTCTCTATCAGACTACTCTCTCTATCAGACTACTCTCTCTATCAGACTACTCTCTCTATCAGACTACTCTCTCTATCAGACTACTCTCTCTATCAGACTACTCTCTCTATCAGACTACTCTCTCTATCAGACTACTCTCTCTATCAGACTACTCACTCTATCAGACTACTCTCTCTATCAGACTACTCTCTCCATCAGCCTACTCTCTCTATCAGACTACTCTCTCTATCAGACTACTCTCTCTATCAGACTACTCTCTCTATCAGGACCTACTCACTCTATCAGACTACTCTCTCTATCAGACTACTCTCTCCATTCAGACTACTCTCTCTATCAGACTACTCTCTCTATCAGACTACTCTCTCTATCAGACTACTCTCTCATACAGACTACTCTCTCCATCAGACTACTCTCTCTATCAGACTACTCTCTCTATCAGACTACTCTCTCCATCAGACTACTCTCTCTATCAGACTACTCTCTCTATCAGACTACTCTCTCTATCAGACTACTCTCTCTATCAGACTACTCTCTCTATCAGACTACTCTCTATCAGACTACTTCTCCATCAGACTACTCTCTCCATCAGACTACTCTCTCCATCAGACTACTCTCTCTATCAGACTACTTCTCTATCAGACTACTCTCTCTATCAGATACTCTCTCCATCAGACTACTCTCTCTATCAGACTACTCTCTCTATCAGACTACTCTCTCTATCAGACTACTCTCTCTATCAGACTACTCTCTCCATCAGACTACTCTCTCTATCAGACTACTCTTCCATCAGACTACTCTCTCTATCAGACTACTTCTCTATCGACTACTCTCTCCATCAGACTACTCTCTCTATCAGACTATCTCTCTATCAGACTACTCTCTCTATCAGACTACTCTCTCTATCAGACTATCTCTCTATCAGACTACTCTCTCTATCAGACTACTCTCTCTATCAGACTACTCTCTCTATCAGACTACTCTCTCTATCAGACTACTCTCTCTATCAGACTACTCTCTCTATCAGACTACTCTCTCTATCAGACTACTCTCTCTATCAGACTACTCTCTCTATCATGACTACTCTCTCCATCAGACTACTCTCTCTATCAGACTACTCTCTCTATCAGACTACTCTCTCTATCAGACTACTCTCTCCATCATGACTACTCTCCTCCTATCAGACTACTCTCTCTATCAGACTACTCTCTCTATCAGACTACTCTCTCCATCAGACTACTCTCTCTATCAGACTACTCTCCTATCAGACTACTCTCTCCATCAGACTACTCTCTCCTATCAGACTACTCTCTCCTATCAGACTACTCTCTCTATCGGACTACTCTCTCCTATCAGACTACTCTCTCCTATCAGACTACTCTCTCTATCAGACTACTCTCTCCTATCAGACTACTCTCTCTATCAGACTACTCTCTCTATCAGACTACTCTCTCTATCAGACTACTCTCTCTATCAGACTCTCTCTCTATCAGACATACTCTCTCACACCTACTCTCTCATCAGACTACTCTCTCTATCAGACTACTCTCTCCATCAGACTACTCTCTCCATCAGACTACTCTCTCTATCAGACTACTCTCTCTATCAGACTACTCTCTCTATCAGACTACTCTCTCCATCAGACTACTCTCTCTATCAGACTACTCTCTCCATCAGACTACTCTCTCCATCAGACTACTCTCTCTATCAGACTACTCTCTCCATCAGACTACTCTCTCTATCAGACTACTCTCTCTATCAGACTACTCTCTCTATCAGACTACTCTCTCTATCAGACTACTCTCTCTATCAGACTACTCTCTCCATCAGACTACTCTCTCCATCAGACTACTCACTCTATCAGACTACTCTCTCTATCAGACTACTCTCTCTATCAGACTACTCTCTCTATCAGACTACTCTCTCTATCAGACTACTCTCTCTATCAGACTACTCTCTCTATCAGATACTCTCTCTATCAGACTACTCTCTCTATCAGACTACTCTCTCTCCATCAGACTACTCTCTCTATCAGACTACTCTCTCCATCAGACTACTCTCTCTATCAGACTACTCTCTCCCATCAGACTACTCTCTCTATCAGACTACTCTCTCCATCAGACTACTCTCTCTATCAGACTACTCTCTCTATCAGACTACTCTCTCTATCAGACTACTCTCTCTATCAGACTACTCTCTCTATCAGACTACTCTCTCTATCAGACTACTCTCTCTATCAGACTACTCTCTCTATCAGACTACTCTCTCCATCAGACTACTCTCTCTATCAGACTACTCTCTCCATCAGACTACTCTCTCCATCAGACTACTCTCTCCATCAGACTACTCTCTCTATCAGACTACTCTCTCCATCAGACTACTCTCTCCATCAGACTACTCTCTCCATCAGACTACTCTCTCCATCAGACTACTCTCTCCATCAGACTACTCTCTCTATCAGACTACTCTCTCTATCAGACTACTCTCTCTATCAGACTACTCTCTCTATCAGACTACTCTCTCTATCAGACTACTCTCTCTATCAGACTACTCTCTCTATCAGACTACTCTCTCTATCAGACTACTCTCTCCATCAGACTACTCTCTCTATCAGACTACTCTCTCTATCAGACTACTCTCTCCATCAGACTACTCTCTCTATCAGACTACTCTCTCCATCAGACTACTCTCTCCATCAGACTACTCTCTCTATCAGACTACTCTCTCTATCAGACTACTCTCTCTATCAGACTACTCTCTCCATCAGACTACTCTCTCTATCAGACTACTCTCTCTATCAGACTACTCTCTCCATCAGACTACTCTCTCCATCAGACTACTCTCTCCATCAGACTACTCTCTCCATCAGACTACTCTCTCTATCAGACTACTCTCTCCATCAGACTACTCTCTCCATCAGACTACTCTCTCTATCAGACTACTCTCTCCATCAGACTACTCTCTCTATCAGACTACTCTCTCTATCAGACTACTCTCTCTATCAGACTACTCTCTCTATCAGACTACTCTCTCTATCAGACTACTCTCTCTATCAGACTACTCTCTCTATCAGACTACTCTCTCTATCAGACTACTCTCCTATCAGACTACTCTCTCTATCAGACTACTCTCTCTATCAGACTACTCTCTCTATCAGACTACTCTCTCTATCAGACTACTCTCTCTATCAGACTACTGCTCTCTATCAGACTACTCTCTCTATCAGACTACTCTCTCTATCAGACTACTCACTCTATCAGACTACTCTCTCTATCAGACTACTCTCTCTATCAGACTACTCACTCTATCAGACTACTCTCTCTATCAGACTACTCTCTCTATCAGACTACTCTCTCCATCAGACTACTCTCTCTATCAGACTACTCTCTCTATCAGACTACTCTCTCTATCAGACTACTCTCTCTATCAGACTACTCTCTCCATCAGACTACTCTCTCCATCAGACTACTCTCTCTATCAGACTACTCTCTCCATCAGACTACTCTCTATCTATCAGACTACTCTCCCCATCAGACTACTCTCTCCATCAGACTACTCTCTCCATCAGACTACTCTCTCTATCAGACTACTCTCTCTATCAGACTACTCTCTCCATCAGACTACTCTCTCCATCAGACTACTCTCTCTATCAGACTACTCTCTCCATCAGACTACTCTCTCTATCAGACTACTCTCTCTATCAGACTACTCTCTCTATCAGACTACTCTCTCCATCAGACTACTCTCTCTATCAGACTACTCTCTCTATCAGACTACTCTCTCTATCAGACTACTCACTCCATCAGACTACTCTCTCTATCAGACTACTCTCTCTATCAGACTACTCTCTCTATCAGACTACTCTCTCCATCAGACTACTCTCTCTATCAGACTACTAACTCTATCAGACTACTCTCTCCATCAGACTACTCTCTCCATCAGACTACTCTCTCTATCAGACTACTCTCTCTATCAGACTACTCTCTCTATCAGACTACTCTCTCTATCAGACTACTCTCTCTATCAGACTACTCTCTCTATCAGACTACTCTCTCTATCAGACTACTCTCTCTATCAGACTACTCTCTCCATCAGACTACTCTCTCCATCAGACTACTCTCTCTATCAGACTACTCTCTCTATCAGACTACTCTCTCTATCAGACTACTCTCTCTATCAGACTACTCTCTCCATCAGACTACTCTCTCCATCAGACTACTCTCTCTATCAGACTACTCTCTCTATCAGACTACTCTCTCCATCAGACTACTCTCTCCATCAGACTACTCTCTCTATCAGACTACTCTCTCTATCAGACTACTCTCTCTATCAGACTACTCACTCCATCAGACTACTCTCTCTATCAGACTACTCTCTCCATCAGACTACTCACTCCATCAGACTACTCTCTCTATCAGACTACTCTCTCTATCAGACTACTCTCTCTATCAGACTACTCACTCCATCAGACTACTCTCTCCATCAGACTACTCTCTCTATCAGACTACTCACTCTACTCACTCCATCAGACTACTCACTCCATCAGACTACTCTCTCCATCAGACTACTCTCTCTATCAGACTACTCACTCTACTCACTCCATCAGACTACTCTCTCCATCAGACTACTCTCTCTATCAGACTACTCACTCCATCAGACTACTCTCTCCATCAGACTACTCTCTCTACTCACTCCATCAGACTACTCTCTCTACTCACTCCATCAGACTACTCTCTCTACTCACTCCATCAGACTACTCTCTCTACTCACTCCATCAGACTACTCACTCCATCAGACTACTCACTCAAACATCAGAGGGCGCTTTTGCATGAACAATTAATAAGAATAATCATTAGCTGCAGCCTTTTTAGTAACGGCCCCAGTGGTGTCTGTGGTGGTGTTATTATAATATATATATATATATACACAGTATATGTGTGTATAAGTACCCGTGCAGAGACCCTCTCCCAGGCCTGCTTCAGGAGAGCCTGGTCCACAGAGAGCTTCCCCTCTCTGCTGATTGGCTGCAGCAGCGGCTCGCTCTGCTTCCTCTTCATCTCAAAGTGCACTCTGAAACTCTTAAACTCCTGGAACAGGAAGACAGAAACACGAGTTGTACTTTTGCCATATATTGAATACACTGTATGTTTAACTTCATGATAATGTTCTTTAATAACGTGCAATGGCGTATCTGCCACTACATTGAGTTGCACTGCTCGTACAGACGCTCACGTGATGTCACCGTCTGCTCCCTGTGGATATTGAACTGCTCCTTGTTCCGCTCTGCTAGTGTACAGTTGTATTTTCATGCTGCTGGGTTTATCGTATCTGTGTAACTCTGGCACAACTATTTCCTTCAGGATGAATAAAGTCCTCTCTTATCTTTTCTTCCTAACTTGTGAATTCATCTAAAAAAGTCTTTATTTAACTGAAAGCTGTTAAATGACCTGTGGTGTGTCTGACCTGGTACTTGTCAGAGAGGCTCCCTCGTGCTGTGAGATGTGATGTAAACATGTATAATATAATGTGTGGTGTGTCTGACCTGGTACTTGTCGGTGAGGTTCCCCTCGCTGCCCTGCGCTCGCAGCACCTCTCTCTCCAGCTGGTCCAGGAACACCTTCAGCTCTCGGAGCATCTTACGCTCCTCTCGCTGTCAACAGGAAACACTATTAACACTGTGTGTAAACTCTGGCTGTACAGAGGACACGGGGTCTTCGTATTCATCGATGCTGCAGACGAGTCAGCAATCTGATGTTATTTGAATGCGTCTGGGAAACGTTGCCTGGCTGTTCCAGAAGCCTCTAAATGACATCCGTCTTTCATACATTCATATTAGAAAGAGTCAAATACAACTTTCATTCAATTCATTTCTTCCAAACAAAGTTCAAACTGCGTCTGTGTGCAGAACTACAGCATGCAGCAGGAGGAGGAGGAGGAGGAGGAGGAGGAGGAGGAGGAGGAGGAGGAGGAGGAGGAGGAGGAGGAGGAGGAGGAGGAGGAGGAGGAGGAGGAGGAGGAGGAGGAAAGGGTCTTCATAAAAACACTTAGTTTTTTAATTCAGAGAAACATACCTCGAGCATTTGCTCTATATCTCCAGGACAGAACTATCCAGGAAGAAGCAGACAGAGAAGCGTTAGAGAAGAGAGGAGGAGGAGGAGGAGGAGGAGGAGGAGGAGGAGGAGGAGGAGGAGGAGGAGGAGGAGGAGGAGGAGGAGGAGGAGGAGGAGGAGGAGGAGAGCTTCATGTGCAACAAAATAAACCGCTGAGGTCACGAGGTGACGATGTCACCGCTGAGGTCACGAGGTGACGATGTCACCGCTGAGGTCACGAGGTGACGATGTCACCGCTGAGAAATGCATGTTCTCTTTTCTTTTTAAATCACCATTTATTACAGCGAGAAACTACAGAAACAGAAATTCTCATCAGTTGTTCAACTGTCCTTGAACTACTCACTTTATTCTAAATCAAGGGTGTCCAAACTACGGCCCGGGGGCCAAATGCGGCCCGCAGACCATTTTGAATCGACCCCTCGGCAAATTCAAAAGAATAATGACTTTAGTATAATAAACTTGGTCTTATATTGGACTTCTTAAATATATGTTCAAATGTATTACACAGTATTCATGTGTTAATGAGCCCACTTTTTCAAATAAATTCAGTCAATTCAAGTTGGAAATAAATTGATAAGAAAAAAGCCCAATAACTTATTTAAATGAAAGCCTTGAAATAGACCCTTCATATTGCCTGTGTTCACTGTTTGTTTCTTTAAGCATATTCATGTACCAAGAATAATCGACCTACATTTGATTGACTTTTCCAACTTATAACTGAAATTATGAAGCAATACACCTCTAGTGAGCGGCCCGGCCCTTCGTACATGTGTCTGTAAGTGGCCCTCTGTGAATAAAGTGTGGACAGCCTGTTCCCAAATGTTAAGATGTCGTAATAGAATCTTATATAATATAATCAGTGATCACCTCGTCCTGCTGCCCGTCCGCCTCAGAGTGCCCAGGGTTGGGGTAATGTTTGAGGAACTGAGCCACGTACGTCATGATGGACTTCTCATCCGGCTTATCCACGTCCACATCTGGAGAGACACAGAAAACATGTTCACATTTATCCTGAGCAGGGAATCAAGATCCAAGTCTCTCTCACCATGAGCTCAGCAGCTACAGGGTAGATGTGGCAATGACAAACTCAAGTCCTCCTCCAGCAGAGCAACAGGAATATATATAGGACATACAACTAATAGAACAGATCAAATAGTGAAGAGAATGTTTTGAGATGTGCACGTTAATACAAATAAAATAGAAATAGTTCAAGAAGAGTCTGTATACAAGTAAATGGAATATGATATATAGATCAATAAGATGCTGCAGACAGACTGCAGAGAGGCTGCAGAGAGGCTGCAGACAGACTGCAGAGAGGCTGCAGAGAGGCTGCAGAGAGGCTGCAGAGAGGCTGCAGACAGACTGCAGACAGACTGCAGACAGACTGCAGAGAAGCTGCAGAGAGGCTGCAGAGAGGCTGTAGAGAGGCTGCAGAGAGACTGCAGACAGACTGCAGAGAGGCTGCAGAGAGACTGCAGAGAGGGCTGCAGACAGACTGCAGAGAGGCTGCAGACAGGCTGCAGAGAGACTGCAGAGAGGCTGTAGACAGACTGCAGAGAGACTGCAGAGAGGCTGCAGAGAGACTGCAGACAGACTGCAGAGAGGCTGCAGAGAGACTGCAGAGAGGGCTGCAGACAGACTGCAGAGAGGCTGCAGACAGGCTGCAGAGAAGCTGCAGAGAGGCTGCAGAGAGGCTGCAGAGAGACTGCAGACAGACTGCAGAGAGGCTGTAGACAGACTGCAGAGAGGCTGCAGACAGGCTGCAGAGAGACTGCAGAGAGGCTGTAGACAGACTGCAGAGAGGCTGCAGACAGGCTGCAGAGAGACTGCAGAGAGGCTGCAGAGAGACTGCAGAGAGGCTGTAGACAGACTGCAGAGAGACTGCAGAGAGGCTGCAGACAGGCTGCAGAGAGACTGCAGAGAAGCTGCAGAGAGACTGCAGAGAGGCTGCAGAGAGACTGCAGAGAGGGCTGCAGACAGACTGCAGAGAGGCTGCAGACAGACTGCAGAGAGGCTGCAGACAGGCTGCAGAGAGACTGCAGAGAGGCTGTAGACAGACTGCAGAGAGGCTGCAGACAGACTGCAGAGAGGCTGTAGACAGACTGCAGAGAGACTGCAGAGAGGCTGCAGACAGACTGCAGAGAGGCTGCAGACAGACTGCAGAGAGGCTGCAGACAGACTGCAGAGAGGCTGCAGACAGGCTGCAGAGAGACTGCAGAGAGGCTGTAGACAGACTGCAGAGAGGCTGCAGACAGACTGCAGAGAGACTGCAGAGAGGCTGCAGACAGACTGCAGAGAGACTGCAGAGAGGCTGCAGACAGGGCTGCAGACAGGGCTGCAGACAGGGCTGCAGACAGACTGCAGAGAGGCTGCAGACAGAGTGCAGAGAGGCTGCAGACAGAGTGCAGAGAGGCTGCAGACAGACTGCAGAGAGGCTGCAGAGAGGCTGCAGACAGACTGCAGAGAGACTGCAGAGAGGCTGTAGACAGACTGCAGAGAGACTGCAGAGAGGCTGCAGAGAGACTGCAGAGAGACTGCAGACAGACTGCAGAGAGACTGCAGAGAGGCTGTAGACAGACTGCAGAGAGACTGCAGAGAGGCTGCAGAGAGGCTGCAGAGAGACTGCAGAGAGGCTGCAGAGAGACTGCAGAGAGGCTGCAGACAGACTGCAGAGAGGCTGTAGACAGACTGCAGAGAGACTGCAGAGAGGCTGCAGACAGACTGCAGAGAGACTGCAGAGAGACTGCAGAGAGGCTGCAGAGAGGCTGCAGACAGACTGCAGAGAGGCTGCAGACAGACTGCAGAGAGGCTGCAGAGAGACTGCAGAGAGACTGCAGAGAGGCTGCAGAGAGGCTGCAGACAGACTGCAGAGAGACTGCAGAGAGACTGCAGAGAGGCTGCAGAGAGGCTGCAGACAGACTGCAGAGAGGCTGCAGAGAGGCTGCAGACAGACTGCAGAGAGGCTGCAGACAGACTGCAGAGAGGCTGCAGACAGACTGCAGAGAGGCTGTAGACAGACTGCAGAGAGGCTGCAGAGAGACTGCAGAGAGACTGCAGAGAGACTGCAGAGAGGCTGCAGACAGACTGCAGAGAGGCTGCAGACAGACTGCAGAGAGGCTGCAGACAGACTGCAGAGAGGCTGCAGACAGACTGCAGAGAGGCTGCAGAGAGGCTGCAGACAGACTGCAGAGAGGCTGTAGAGAGACTGTAGAGAGACTGTAGAGAGACTGTAGAGAGACTGTAGAGAGAGACTGTAGAGAGAGACTGTAGAGAGAGACTGTAGAGAGACTGTAGAGAGACTGTAGAGAGACTGTAGAGAGAGACTGTAGAGAGACTGTAGAGAGACTGTAGAGAGACTGTAGAGAGACTGTAGAGAGACTGTAGAGAGACTGCAGAGCGACTGCAGAGAGGCTGTAGACAGACTGCAGACAGACTGCAGACAGACTGCAGAGAGGCTGTAGAGAGGCTGTAGACAGACTGCAGAGAGGCTGCAGACAGACTGCAGAGAGGCTGCAGAGAGGCTGCAGAGAGGCTGTAGACAGACTGCAGAGAGAATGCAGAGAGGCTGCAGAGAGGCTGCAGACAGACTGCAGAGAGAATGCAGAGAGGCTGCAGAGAGGCTGTAGACAGACTGCAGAGAGGCTGCAGACAGACTGCAGACAGACTGCCGAGAGGCTGCAGAGAGACTGCCGAGAGGCTGCAGAGAGGCTGCAGACAGACTGCCGAGAGGCTGCAGAGAGACTGCAGACAGACTGCAGAGAGGCTGCAGAGAGGCTGTAGACAGACTGCAGAGATGCTGCAGAGATGCTGCAGAGAGGCTGCAGAGAGGCTGCAGACAGACTGCCGAGAGGCTGCAGAGAGACTGCAGACAGACTGCCGAGAGGCTGCAGAGAGACTGCAGAGAGACTGCAGACAGACTGCAGAGAGGCTGTAGACAGACTGCCGAGAGGCTGCAGAGAGACTGCAGAGAGACTGCAGAGAGACTGCCGAGAGGCTGCAGAGAGGCTGCAGACAGACTGCCGAGAGGCTGCAGAGAGACTGCAGAGAGACTGCAGACAGACTGCAGAGAGGCTGTAGACAGACTGCAGAGAGACTGCAGAGAGGCTGCAGACAGACTGCAGAGAGGCTGCAGACAGACTGCAGAGAGGCTGCAGAGAGACTGCAGAGAGGCTGCAGAGAGACTGCAGAGAGACTGCAGAGAGGCTGCAGAGAGGCTGCAGACAGACTGCAGAGAGGCTGCAGAGAGACTGCAGAGAGGCTGCAGAGAGGCTGCAGAGAGGCTGCAGACAGACTGCAGAGAGACTGCAGAGAGACAGCAGAGAGGCTGCAGAGAGGCTGCAGACAGACTGCAGAGAGGCTGCAGAGAGGCTGCAGACAGACTGCAGAGAGGCTGCAGACAGACTGCAGAGAGGCTGCAAACAGACTGCAGAGAGACTGCAGAGAGGCTGTAGACAGACTGCAGAGAGACTGCAGAGAGGCTGCAGAGAGACTGCAGAGAGACTGCAGAGAGACTGTAGAGAGACTGCAGAGAGGCTGTAGAGAGGCTGTAGACAGACTGCAGAGAGGCTGCAGACAGACTGCAGAGAGGCTGCAGAGAGGCTGCAGACAGACTGCAGAGAGGCTGCAGAGAGACTGCAGAGAGGCTGCAGAGAGACTGCAGAGAGGCTGTAGACAGACTGCAGACAGACTGCAGAGAGACTGCAGAGAGGCTGCAGAGAGGCTGCAGAGAGGCTGTAGAGAGGCTGTAGACAGACTGCAGAGAGGCTGCAGACAGACTGCAGAGAGGCTGCAGAGAGGCTGCAGAGAGAATGCAGAGAGGCTGCAGAGAGGCTGCAGAGAGGCTGCAGAGAGAATGCAGAGAGGCTGTAGACAGACTGCAGAGAGGCTGCAGACAGACTGCAGACAGACTGCCAAGAGGCTGCAGAGAGGCTGCAGAGAGACTGCCGAGAGGCTGCAGAGAGGCTGCAGACAGACTGCCGAGAGGCTGCAGAGAGACTGCAGACAGACTGCAGAGAGGCTGCAGAGAGACTGCAGACAGACTGCAGACAGACTGCCGAGAGGCTGCAGAGAGACTGCCGAGAGGCTGCAGAGAGGCTGCAGACAGACTGCAGACAGACTGCCGAGAGGCTGCAGAGAGACTGCCGAGAGGCTGCAGAGAGACTGCAGACAGACTGCAGAGAGGCTGCAGAGAGACTGCAGAGATTCTGCAGAGATGCTGCAGACAGACTGCCGAGAGGCTGCAGAGAGACTGCAGACAGACTGCAGACAGACTGCCGAGAGGCTGCAGAGAGACTGCCGAGAGGCTGCAGAGAGGCTGCAGACAGACTGCCGAGAGGCTGCAGAGAGACTGCAGACAGACTGCAGAGAGGCTGCAGAGAGGCTGCAGAGATGCTGCAGAGATGCTGCAGACAGACTGCAGAGAGGCTGCAGAGAGGCTGCAGACAGACTGCAGAGAGGCTGCAGACAGACTGCAGAGATGCTGCAGACAGACTGCCGAGAGGCTGCAGAGAGGCTGCAGACAGACTGCAGAGAGGCTGCAGACAGATTGCAGAGAGGCTGCAGAGAGGCTGCAGACAGGACTGCAGACAGACTGCAGAGAGGCTGCAGACAGATTGCAGAGAGGCTGCAGAGAGGCTGCAGACAGACTGCAGAGAGGCTGCAGACAGACTGCAGAGAGGCTGCAGACAGATTGCAGAGAGGCTGCAGAGAGGCTGCAGAGAGGCTGCAGAGAGGCTGCAGAGAGGCTGCAGACAGGCTGCAGAGAGGCTGCAGAGAGACAGCAGAGAGACTGCAGAGAGACTGCAGAGAGGCTGCAGAGAGACTGCAGAGAGGCTGCAGACAGGCTGCAGAGAGGCTGCAGACAGACTGCAGAGAGGCTGCAGAGAGACTGCAGACAGGCTGCAGAGAGGCTGCAGACAGACTGCAGAGAGACTGCAGAGAGGCTGCAGAGAGGCTGCAGAGAGGCTGCATACAGACTGCAGAGAGGCTGCAGACAGGCTGCAGACAGGGCTGTAGACAGACTGCAGAGAGGCTGCAGAGAGACTGCAGACAGACTGCAGAGAGGCTGCAGACAGACTGCAGAGAGACTGCAGACAGGCTGCAGACAGACTGCAGAGAGGCTGCAGACAGACTGCAGAGAGGCTGCAGAGAGGCTGCAGACAGACTGCAGAGAGGCTGCAGACAGGCTGCAGACAGACTGCAGAGAGGCTGCAGACAGACTGCAGAGAGGCTGCAGAGAGGCTGCAGAGAGGCTGCAGAGAGGCTGCAGAGAGGCTGCAGACAGGCTGCAGACAGACTGTAGAGAGGCTGCAGAGAGACTGCAGAGAGGCTGCAGAGAGGCTGCAGACAGACTGCAGAGAGGCTGCAGACAGACTGCAGAGAGGCTGCAGAGAGGCTGCAGAGAGGCTGCAGAGAGGCTGCAGAGAGGCTGCAGAGAGACTGCAGAGAGGCTGCAGACAGACTGCAGACAGGCTGCAGACAGACTGCAGACAGGCTGCAGACAGACTGCAGAGAGGCTGCAGAGAGACTGCAGAGAGGCTGCAGAGAGGCTGCAGAGAGGCTGCAGACAGACTGCAGAGAGGCTGCAGACATACTGCAGAGAGGCTGCAGACAGACTGCAGAGAGGCTGCAGACAGACTGCAGAGAGGCTGCAGAGAGGCTGCAGACAGGCTGCAGAGAGGCTGCAGACAGGGCTGCAGACAGACTGCAGAGTGGCTGCAGACAGGCTGCAGACAGGGCTGTAGACAGACTGCAGAGAGGCTGCAGACAGGGCTGCAGACAGACTGCAGAGAGGCTGCAGACAGGGCTGCAGACAGACTGCAGAGAGGCTGCAGACAGACTGCAGAGAGGCTGCAGACAGACTGCAGAGAGGCTGCAGACAGACTGCAGACAGACTGCAGACAGACTGCAGAGAGGCTGCAGACAGACACTGAGCAGCACGGGAACGCAGCGTCAATCTGCAACTACAACCACTTCAGAGGAAACACTACAGATATCAGCATGAAATCCCCCCACCTCATTACAATAAAGGCCTACACTGAAAGAACTGAACCGTTGACTTTCATTAATTGTATTATCAAAGTCAAAAAAGTCAAAGTCAACTTTAATGTCAATCTGACTCAGTGTGTGTTTACAGACAGAGAGATCGAATGACGTTGACTTCAACAGATTTCACATAACTGCATTAAGTTATAATATGAAGTAGAACTTCATATTTTGTATTTAAACTTGATATTATTACTTTCATCTAACCTAATACAGCTATGTGAAATGTGTTGAAGTCAACGTTTCAGTTTTTCAGTGTATCTTTTTAACGTGGCTCATAATTTGGGGCTATTATCAGTAGTTTTATGGTTCAGTGATATCACTCTTTCTGTTTGTTTACACCTGGTTTTTAATGATGTTCCTCAGGTGTTATTGGCATGTTCTGTCACACTCTGTAAAGCTCTTTGGGCTGCGTCCAGCATCAAAGGTGCTATATAAATAAAGTGTATTATTAACATTATTATTATTATGTTATTACTGACTCTAACACAGTTAGTTCCTCCAACAAGCTTTTTGACATGTTGTTAATATATATATAAATGAGATATCTGCAGACAAGAACAGAGAGATTTAGTGGAATAACCTCCTGGACAAAGAGCATGTTAGTAAAGCTATATATTTGAGGAGGTGTACCTTCAGGGTCCAGCAGGCGGGGGATGCCCAGCTGGTTCTCTGCCAGAGAGAAGGCCTCCTCCAGGTTCTCCCTGTTGCTCCTCCTCCTCACCTCCTCCATGTCCACCAGGTCAGGTCTGATGGAGTGGACCACGGACTGGAACAGCACTCCGTCCCTCCAGCTGGGCCCGAAGTCCTTCACCTGGAGACCGTGGAACCTGAAACACACACACACAGAGGAAGGTTATGACACAACACACACCTCAGCTTACCTTAAAGAACACACACACAGAGACGTTATGTTCTGAAGGTTACTGTGAGACACACACACACATATCTCCCCTGTTACCTCCTCTGATGTCTATAACCCCACAGTGAGTTGATGTTTCTTACTGTGAACCCATCGCAGCAGGGCCTTCTTGGCCGAGTTACCTCCTCTGATATCTCCTCTGATATCTCCAGAGTTACCTCCTCTAATATCTCCAGAGTTACCTCCTCTAATATCTCCTCTAATATCTCCTCTGATATCTCCTCTGATATCTCCAGAGTTACCTCCTCTGATATCTCCAGAGTTACCTCCTCTGATATCTCCTCTAATATCTCCAGAGTTACCTCCTCTGACATCTCCAGAGTTACCTCCTCTAATATCTCCAGAGTTACCTCCTCTGATATCTCCTCTGATATCTCCTCTGATATCTCCTCTAATATCTCCAGAGTTACCTCCTCTGATATCTCCTCTGATATCTCCTCTGATATCTCCTCTGATATCTCCTCTAATATCTCCTCTGATATCTCCTCTAATACCTCCTCTGATATCTCCAGAGTTACCTCCTCTGATATTTCCTCTGACATCTCCTCTGATATCTCCAGAGTTACCTCCTCTAATATCTCCTCTAATAACTCCTCTGATATCTCCAGAGTTACCTCCTCTGATATTTCCTCTGACATCTCCTCTGATATCTCCAGAGTTACCTCCTCTAATATCTCCTCTGACATCTCCTCTGATATCTCCTCTGATATCTCCAGAGTTACCTCCTCTAATATCTCCTCTGATATTTCCTCTGACATCTCCTCTGATATCTCCAGAGTTACCTCCTCTAATATCTCCTCTAATATCTCCTCTGATATCTCCTCTGACATATCCTCTGATATCTCCTCTGATATCTCCAGAGTTACCTCCTCTAATATCTCCTCTAATATCTCCTCTGATATCTCCTCTGACATCTCCTCTGATATCTCCTCTGATATCTCCTCTAATATCTCCTCTAATATCTCCTCTGATATCTCCTCTGATATCTCCTCTGATATCTCCAGAGTTACCTCCTCTAATATCTCCTCTAATATCTCCTCTGATATCTCCTCTGACATCTCCTCTGATATCTCCTCTGATATCTCCTCTAATATCTCCTCTGATATCTCCTCTAATATCTCCTCTGACATCTCCTCTAATATCTCCTCTGATATCTCCTCTGATATCTCCTCTGACATCTCCTCTAATATCTCCTCTGATATCTCCTCTGACATCTCCTCTGACATCTCCTCTGATATCTCCTCTGATATCTCCTCTGATATCTCCTCTAATATCTCCTCTGATATCTCCTCTGATATCTCCTCTGATATCTCCTCTAATATCTCCTCTGATATCTCCAGAGTTACCTCCTCTGATATCTCCTCTGATATCTCCTCTGACATCTCCAGAGTTACCTCCTCTGATATCTCCTCTGATATCTCCTCTAATATCTCCTCTGACATCTCCTCTGACATCTCCTCTGATATCTCCTCTGACATCTCCTCTGACATCTCCTCTGACATCTCCTCTGATATCTCCTCTGATATCTCCTCTGATATCTCCTCTGACATCTCCTCTGATATCTCCTCTGATATCTCCTCTGATATCTCCTCTGATATCTCCTCTGATATCTCCTCTGATATCTCCTCTAATATCTCCTCTGATATCTCCTCTAATATCTCCTCTGACATCTCCTCTAATATCTCCTCTGATATCTCCTCTGACATCTCCTCTGATATCTCCTCTGATATCTCCTCTAATATCTCCTCTGATATCTCCTCTGACATCTCCTCTGACATCTCCAGAGTTACCTCCTCTGATATCTCCTCTAATATCTCCTCTAATATCTCCTCTGATATCTCCAGAGTTACCTCCTCTAATATCTCCTCTAATATCTCCTCTAATATCTCCTCTGATATCTCCTCTAATATCTCCTCTGATATCTCCTCTGATATCTCCTCTAATATCTCCTCTGATATCTCCTCTGATATCTCCTCTGATATCTCCTCTGATATCTCCTCTAATATCTCCTCTGATATCTCCTCTGATATCTCCTCTAATATCTCCTCTGATATCTCCTCTAATATCTCCTCTGATATCTCCTCTGATATCTCCTCTAATATCTCCTCTAATATCTCCTCTGATATCTCCTCTGATATCTCCTCTAATATCTCCTCTGATATCTCCTCTAATATCTCCTCTAATATCTCCTCTAATATCTCCTCTGATATCTCCTCTGATATCTCCTCTAATATCTCCTCTGATATCTCCTCTAATATCTCCTCTAATATCTCCTCTGATATCTCCTCTGACATCTCCTCTGATATCTCCTCTGATATCTCCAGAGTTACCTGCTCTGATATCTCCTCTGACATCTCCTCTGATATCTCCTCTAATATCTCCTCTAATATCTCCTCTGATATCTCCTCTGATATCTCCTCTAATATCTCCTCTGATATCTCCTCTAATATCTCCTCTAATATCTCCTCTGATATCTCCTCTGATATCTCCTCTGATATCTCCAGAGTTACCTCCTCTGATATCTCCTCTAATATCTCCTCTGATATCTCCTCTGACATCTCCTCTGATATCTCCTCTAATATCTCCTCTAATATCTCCTCTGATATCTCCTCTAATATCTCCTCTGATATCTCCTCTGATATCTCCTCTAATATCTCCTCTAATATCTCCTCTGATATCTCCTCTGATATCTCCTCTAATATCTCCTCTGATATCTCCTCTTATATCTCCAGAGTTACCTCCTCTGATATCTCCTCTAATATCTCCTCTGATATCTCCTCTGACATCTCCTCTAATATCTCCTCTAATATCTCCTCTGATATCTCCTCTGATATCTCCTCTGATATCTCCTCTGATATCTCCTCTGATATCTCCTCTAATATCTCCTCTAATATCTCCTCTGATATCTCCTCTGATATCTCCTCTAATATCTCCTCTAATATCTCCTCTGATATCTCCTCTAATACCTCCTCTAATATCTCCTCTGATATCTCCTCTAATATCTCCTCTGATATCTCCTCTGACATCTCCTCTGATATCTCCTCTAATATCTCCTCTAATATCTCCTCTGATATCTCCTCTGATATCTCCTCTGATATCTCCTCTGATATCTCCTCTGACATCTCCTCTGATATCTCCTCTGACATCTCCTCTGATATCTCCTCTGATATCTCCTCTAATATCTCCTCTAATATCTCCTCTGATATCTCCTCTGATATCTCCTCTGATATCTCCTCTGATATCTCCTCTGATATCTCCTCTGATATCTCCTCTGATATCTCCAGAGTTACCTCCTCTGATATCTCCTCTAATATCTCCTCTAATATCTCCTCTGATATCTCCAGAGTTACCTCCTCTGATATCTCCTCTAATACCTCCTCTAATATCTCCTCTGATATCTCCTCTGATATCTCCTCTGATATCTCCTCTGATATCTCCCCTGATATCTCCTCTGATATCTCCTCTGATATCTCCTCTGATATCTCCAGAGTTACCTCCTCTGATATCTCCTCTAATATCTCCTCTGATATCTCCTCTAATACCTCCTCTAATATCTCCTCTGATATCTCCTCTGATATCTCCTCTGACATCTCCTCTGATATCTCCTCTAATATCTCCTCTGACATCTCCTCTGATATCTCCTCTGATATCTCCTCTGACATCTCCTCTGACATCTCCTCTGATATCTCCTCTGACATCTCCTCTGATATCTCCTCTGATATCTCCTCTGATATCTCCTCTGACATCTCCTCTGATATCTCCTCTAATATCTCCTCTGATATCTCCTCTGATATCTCCTCTAATATCTCCTCTAATATCTCCTCTGATATCTCCTCTAATATCTCCTCTGATATCTCCTCTGATATCTCCTCTGATATCTCCAGAGTTACCTCCTCTGATATCTCCTCTAATATCTCCTCTGATATCTCGTCTGATATCTCCTCTGATATCTCCTCTAATATCTCCTCTGACATCTCCTCTGATATCTCCTCTAATATCTCCTCTGATATCTCCTCTGACATCTCCTCTGACATCTCCTCTGATATCTCCTCTGACATCTCCTCTGATATCTCCTCTAATATCTCCTCTGACATCTCCTCTGATATCTCCTCTGACATCTCCTCTGATATCTCCTCTAATATCTCCTCTGATATCTCCTCTGACATGTCCTCTGATATCTCCTCTAATATCTCCTCTGATATCTCCTCTGATATCTCCTCTGATATCTCCTCTGATATCTCCTCTGATATCTCCTCTGATATCTCCTCTGACATCTCCTCTGATATCTCCTCTGATATCTCCTCTAATATCTCCTCTGATATCTCCTCTGATATCTCCTCTGATATTTCCTCTGATATCTCCAGAGTTACCTCCTCTGATATCTCCTCTGATATCTCCTCTGACATCTCCTCTGATATCTCCTCTGATATCTCCTCTGATATCTCCTCTGACATCTCCTCTGATATCTCCTCTGATATCTCCTCTGATATCTCCAGAGTTACCTCCTCTGATATCTCCTCTAATATCTCCTCTGATATCTCCTCTGATATCTCCTCTAATATCTCCTCTGACATCTCCTCTGATATCTCCTCTGATATCTCCTCTGATATCTCCTCTGACATCTCCTCTGATATCTCCTCTGATATCTCCTCTAATATCTCCTCTGACATCTCCTCTGATATCTCCTCTGATATCTCCTCTGATATCTCCTCTGATATCTCCTCTGACATCTCCTCTGATATCTCCTCTGATATCTCCTCTGATATCCCCAGAGTTACCTCCTCTGATATCTCCTCTAATATCTCCTCTGATATCTCCTCTGATATCTCCTCTAATATCTCCTCTGATATCTCCTCTGATATCTCCAGAGTTACCTCCTCTGATATCTCCTCTAATATCTCCTCTGATATCTCCAGAGTTACCTCCTCTGATATCTCCTCTAATATCTCCTCTAATATCTCCTCTGATATCTCGTCTGATATCTCCTCTGATATCTCCAGAGTTACCTCCAGTTGAACCCCACTGTGAAAGCTCCTTACTGTGCGGCGGTGCTCTGAACCCATCTCAGCAGGGCCTTCTTGGCGCCGCCCTGGAAACGCTGCACCACCTTCCTCTTCATGGGTGGGGGGCTGCCGGCCTCACTGCTCTCCACTGAGGAACTGCTGGTGGAGAGGGGCTGCAGGGAGGTCAGGTTACTGGTCAGCTCCTCGATCTGAGGAGAGAGGAGAGAGGAGAGAGAAGAGAGGAAAGAGGAGAGAGGAGAGAGGAGAGAGGAGACCTGGTCAGCAACAGGAGACATATTTCACAGAAGTTTGGGGTTTTTCTACGAAATTTACTTTTTTCTGAATTCTGACGTTTTTCTCATATTTAGACTTTTTTCAGAATGTTCATTTTTCCAAAAAATCATTTTTTTTCTCAGATTTTACAATTTTTACTTTTCTCAGATGTTTTTCCCAGAACTCGAACCCTATAAGAATTTTTACTTTTTCTCAGTGTTAATAAAAAAAACTGAGAATTTCAAAACTTTTTGTTCTTGAAGTTGAATTTGATGCTTATACTTTTATTATATCTTAATTTAAATCAAATTCACTTTGTTGAAATAAAAGCTGAAGTGATTGAACCGTCAGTATTCAGAGTTTCTAATAACCGGTTTAATTCTGTTTGTACCTGGAAGTAGAGGATGACGGTCCATATCAGCCCGAGGACGATGGACGGGCGTCCGTCTGCGATGTCGGTCGCGTGAATGTTCACCAGTTTGATCTGAAACACAAACAAAGAGGGTTATTCTGGGAACTTCACCACAGGATCATAACATGAACATCCACCCTGTGCCACACAGTCCCAACAAGCTGCTGGTTAGGGTTAGGGTTAGGGTAATGTTGTGAATTGAGTGGCCTGTGTTCGTCATCCATAACATACGCCTGCCCATACCCTAACCCCACCACCACCATGGGCCACTCAATTCACAACATTACCCTAACCCTAACCCTACCCCTAACCCTAATTCTACCCCTCACACCAGATACTGACTGGTTTTCGGACCCCCCCAGACCCCCCCAATAAAGCAAAACTGCACATTTCGGAGTGGCCTTTTATTGTGGCCAGCCTAAGGCACACCTGTGCAATAATCATGCTGTCCAATCAGCATCTTGATATGCCACACCTGTGAGGTGGGATGGATTATCTCGGCAAAGGAGAAGTGCTCACTATCACAGATTTTTTCAGATTTTTGACCAATATTTGAGAGAAATGGTTATTTTGTGTATATAGAAAATGTTTTAGATCTTTGAGTTCATCTCATGAAGAATGGGAGCAAAAACAAAAGTGTTGCGTTTATATTTTTGTTCAGTATAGATATGAATTGGACATGCTAACTAGCCACAATGCTTACATCGTTTATTTGTGTGCTTCAGAGAAAGAGCTGAGGAAGAAGTGGATTATCTGCGAACCCAGTACACCCAGGAGACTTGCCCCTTCGGGTAGCTGTGAAGCACCAAAGACGGGCAGACAGCAGACTTGCCCCTTCGGGTAGTTGTGGAGCACCAAAGACGGGCAGACAGCAGACTTGCCCCTTCGGGTAGCTGTGGAGCACCAAAGACGGGCAGACAGCAGACTTGCCCCTTCGGGTAGTTGTGGAGCACCAAAGACGGGCAGACAGCAGACTTGCCCCTTCGGGTAGCTGTGAAGCACCAAAGACGGGCAGACAGCAGACTTGCCCCTTCGGGTAGTTGTGGAGCACCAAAGACGGGCAGACAGCAGACTTGCCCCTTCGGGTAGTTGTGAAGCACCAAAGACGGGCAGACAGCAGACTTGCCCCTTCGGGTAGCTGTGAAGCACCAAAGACGGGCAGACAGCAGTGGATCATAACCAGGCTGCAGTTTGCACACGCTATTTGTTGTTGTTTATATCACGCAGTCTGTTCTTCTTCTCTGTCTTCCGGTTGTTGCCTATTTTGAATGACGAATACACACTACCACCGCCTGCTGGTAAGGAGAGTTATTGCCACTCACGCACTGAAGTCTTTGCGGTGTGTTCCCGTGCGACACATGGCCAAGACGCAGGAGAACACCGCGACGCAACAGCCGACGTCGGCGTCGGCGAGTCCTCTGGTGACTGCTTGGTGTGTCCGGGCCTTTACCTGTCTCTGTCTCATACCTGGAAGAGTTTGTCAGTATCTGAAATGACTAGGTTAGCTACGTTAGCTAGCTAGCTCACAGCAGATCTGCAGTGACACCAGAAGGAGTCATGTGACCACATTGTTACAAGACCAGTGTGAACCAAATTTGTTATTTGATGAAATATTGAACTTTCACGACGCTCAAAACCTGATCAATAAATGGAATGTACCATCTGACAACAAGCCTACCGATTCAATAACACAAGCGGTCTCAATAAACACATCGTCAGCAAAGAGTCAAACCGCCGAACAGAGGCTGCAGCTCCTACGTGAGATTTAGATAAAACCATCAAACCAAGTCAAAGTGATTCTGATAACGATTCTCACCTTCCTGCCTTCCAGGAATTTGAGCGCTGTGCCGATGTTGGAGACCCAGTGGATCCTCTTCAGCTGACGGCCCTGCTCACGGGGCTGCACACACACACACACACACACACACACACACACACACACACACACACACACACACACACACACACACACACACACACACACACACACACACACACACACACACACACACACACACACACACACACACACACACACACACACACACACACACACACACACACACACACACACACACACACACACACACACACACACACACACACACACACACACACACACACACACACACACACACACACACACACACACACACACACACACACACACACACACACACACACACACACACACACACACACACACACACACACACACACACACACACACACACACACACACACACAAGTTAGCATGGTTTAAAACATGGCCATTCAGTCGCTCAGTGATCTAGTTAAAGAGTCCCGGGGATTAAGTATAAATTAACTGGTGAGTCCCAAAGCTGCTTGAAGAGGGAATCCGTTTAATTCTGAGCAGTAAAACAGGATGGATCCAGCCTCAGTGAGATCTGTGTGTGTGAGCTTGTTTTCATATAGTTGTGAGGACCAATTACAGCATCAAACCAGCGTTATGAGGACACTTCACTGAGAACTGGTTAGAGGCAAAATGAGCAGGATGTTCCTACAGTACACTCGGACAGAAATAGTCCCTCTTCATCATCACCTTCACCCACTAGAAGTGTGTGTGTGTGTGTGTGTGTGTGTGTGTGTGTGTGTGTGTGTGCGTGTGTGTGCGTGCGTGTGTGCGTGTGTGTGTGCGTGCGTGCGTGCGTGCGTGTGTGCGTGTGTGCGTGCGTGCGTGTGTAGGTGTACAGTAACTTACTCTGGTTTGATTTCATGCAGACCGTTGGAACATGCATTCGTCATTATGACCCATCCTGTTGGATGTAAAATGAGCAGCCTGTGCTGACGCGTGGCGGCACTGAATCTAATGGATGCATTATGAACTAGATATATGACGATGTGATTCATATTATTTACTGCAGAGCCGAGGCTCAAACCTCAAATAGATGAGGTGTTGGAAAGAGGAGTGGTGGGTTTTTGAGGAAGAAAGACTTGGCAGAGTTCTATTGAAAGAAACTGCACTGTATGACCTCTCTCTGTGGCTGCGCTGTGTCCTCTGTCTGTGGCTGCGCTGTGTCCTCTCTCTGTGGCTGCGCTGTGTCCTCTCTCTGTGGCTGCGCTGTGTCCTCTCTCTGTGGCTGCGCTGTGACCTCTCTCTGTGGCTGCGCTGTGACCTCCCTCTGTGGCTGCGCTGTGACCTCTCTCTGTGGCTGCGCTGTGTCCTCTGTCTGTGGCTGCGCTGTGTCCTCTCTCTGTGGCTGCACTGTGACCTCTCTCTGTGGCTGCACTGTGACCTCTCTCTGTGGCTGCACTGTGACCACCCTCTGTGGCTGCGCTGTGACCTCCCTCTGTGGCTGCGCTGTGTCCTCTCTCTGTGGCTGCGCTGTGTCCTCTCTCTGTGGCTGCGCTGTGACCTCTCTCTGTGGCTGCGCTGTGTCCTCTCTCTGTGGCTGCGCTGTGTCCTCTCTCTGTGGCTGCGCTGTGTCCTCTCTCTGTGGCTGCGCTGTGTCCTCTCTCTGTGGCTGCGCTGTGTCCTCTCTCTGTGGCTGCGCTGTGTCCTCTCTCTGTGGCTGCGCTGTGACCTCTCTCTGTGGCTGCGCTGTGTCCTCTCTCTGTGGCTGCGCTGTGTCCTCTCTCTGTGGCTGCGCTGTGT